CCCACCAGCAAGCCCGCTGCCGGCCCCGTCAGCTTTGGCCCCCCGTTCAGTTTCGGAGCCCCCGCAGCCCAGTCCGCAGCTCAGCCGGCCTTCGGCAGTGGCGCTCAGCCAGCCTTTGGCACAGCCAGCGCCCAGGGCTCCTTCGGCACCAGCAGCACCCAGGCGGCGTTCGGAACCACCACATCCATCTTCTCTTTCGGGACAGCCACCTCCACCACCGCCGGCTTCGGTTCCACCACCCAGACCCCAACCAGCAGCACCGGCACCGCTGTCTTCGGCACCACCCCTTCTCCTTTCACCTTCGGGGCAAGCGCCCAACCGGGCCCCTCGGCCAGCGCCTTTGGGATTGGCACGCCCGCCCTGGGCAGCGGCTCCCCCGCCGTTGCGTTCAGCTTTGGGGCTGGGCAGAGCACGGCAGCCCCGGCAGCAGCACCGTTTGGCTCTTCCCTGACGCAGAGTGCGCTGGGTGCGCAGAACCAGAGCACGCCCTTCGCCTTCACCGTGCCCAGCACGCCCGACAACAAGCCCGTGTTCGGAGGTGAGCTGGGGTGGACGGGCCTTCTTGCAGGGTGAAGGGGAGGGCTAGATTTAGGCAGCAGCTTTCCTACCGGACCTTGCTGAGCTCCTGGGGCTCAGCAGCCCTGGAGGGTCTGGTGCTCGTGCTGTGCAGAGCCTTGCCATGCGATGGAAAGGTGCTTCCATTACTCACTGTCTGGGTTCCCAGCCCTTGGCGGTGGAGAGGAACCCTTAAGTCCTGGAGTCTGCTGCTCCTTGGCCCCTCTGAATGTGCCACCTCCCTGGCTCCGCGTGAGTGCTGAGCCCAGCCAGGTGCCCTGAAGAAGCCAAGGTCTTGCCAGTGCTTAAAAGCAATCTGAAGCTTCCTGGCAAGTAGAAACACTGCCAGCCAGTGATTGCATTCACTTCTTGCTCTCTGTGCTTTGCACCTTTGCTGGGCTGTTTCACCTCCCACGGAGCTGAAACCCACATGCTGAGCAGCTATTGATCTAGAAAGACAGAGGCCTTTGTTCCTCCCTGGCCTACAAATCCTCCCATGCTGCCCGGCTGGCAGGAGAGTCCAGGGATTACGATGAGAACAACTTCTTGCATTAAAAGGGCTTCTCGGGCAAAGAGGCTGGTCCCAGGGAACTGCGGTGCCTCAGCACCCAGAGGGAGATCTGTGCCTCCTGCGGGCACTGCTGGCTCCCCAAGGCCAGGCTCCGCCTCCTTTGCCGACCCTGACTTACCGTGGTTCGTTGCTTTCCAGGAACTCCTGCACCCGCCTTTGGGCAGAGCACACCTGTCCCGGGAGCAGTGGGGAGTGGAAGCAGTAGCCTTTCCTTCGGGACACCCAGCACTCCTGCCTCGGGCTTCGGAGGAGTCGGCGCTTCCTTCGGTAAGGACAGAGTCAGTGCTTCAGCCTTGGGGAGTTGGTGGGTCATGTTGTGCCCTCGGGCTGGGGATGACACAAGGGCCAGGCTGGGAGTGGCTCAGGTGGCATCTGCTGGGCTCTGGGGGAGGCAAAACCATCCATTCCCCCTGGGACAGGGATTACGCTATCCCCATGCCAGCTCTGAGCGAGGCTGCAGGGACCTGAGTGACCTTTCTGCTTCCAGGTTCGTCCACTCCTGCCTTTTCCATCGGGGCAGGATCCAAGACGGGTGCTCGCCAGCGGCTGG